TAGAGACAGGGTCTCACTATGTTGCCCAAGCTGATCTCAAACTCCTGGCTTCAAGCAATCCTCCCACCCTGGCCTCCCAAAGTGTTGGGATTATAGGCATGAGCCACTCTTCCCAGCCTCTCTCTTCCTTTTCATAATAGCTATTCATGAGGAGCAACAATCACTGGGTTCCATTTCACTTATTCGCCTAGCTCTTGCCTTTTAGATTGACATGCTCCAAGCAGTGAAATGGTTACGTGCAAGTGGGAATCAGGACTGTCAAAGTAAGGTGTCTATTAATCCCTAGACTGGATTTTCAAATCACCAAAACTTCAAATTAGCTCCACTTCTTCCAGGCATTTGCGTTTCTTTTTACATGCCTTTTCTGCTTCAGACCCCATGGCTCTCAAACGGCAGAGGATGGTCAATCTGAATATTTGCCCTGGGAGACCCGAGAGTACAGAAGCATCCTGTACAGAAGCATCCTGTACAGAAGCATCCTGGAGCAGGGCTCTGTCCTCTCAGAGGGCAGAGCTGGATGGGGGGATCACGCCACTTCAGTCCACTGCTCAGTTAAAGCAGAGTCTCTGCAGGTGGGGAGCAACTGGGGTCCATGTGCAAATAGGGCATCAGAGCTGAGGAGCTGCTGGCATTACTGACTTCCCGCTGTGGAGTTCCAGAAACCCAGGCTTTCTAATCCTGAGTCTATTACCAGGGTGACCTGGAGTGTGATCTTTAACTCTTTAAACCTCAATTTCCTCATCTTTAAATGGAGGAGAATAATAGTACTTGTTTTATAGAGTTTCTCTGGGGATTAAGTGAAATGATCTATGTCAAGTGCCTGGAGGACAGCAAGTTCTTCATAAGAGTGCAGCAATTTTTAATGCTGGTGTCATGGTTAGGGCTGAGGCATATGCAGGAGAAAAATAGGGATCAGTGTTATCCAGAAAGAAGTAGTATAAAGAACCTCTGTTTCCAGACGGGCACGGTGACTCACGTCTGTAATCCTAGCACTTTGGGAGGTTGAGGCAGGAGGATCACTTGAGGCCAGGAGTTCAAGACCAGCCTGGCCAATATGGTGAAACGCTGTCTCTACTAAAAATATAGCTGGGCATGGTGGTGTGGCCCTGCAATCCCAGCTAACTGGGAGGCTGAGGCAGGGGAATTGCTTGAACCCTGGAGGTAGAGGTCACAGTGAGCCAAGATCATACCACTGCACTCCAGTCTGGGTGACAGAGTAAGAAACTGTCTCAAAAAAAAACAAAAACAAAAACAAAAACCTCTGTTTAATGCACTCCTCCTCACCAGAATTTTACCTCATGCTTTTTGCAAAGAGAGAGGGAGACAGAGAGAGAGCAGAAAGAGAGACAGAGAGAAAGAAAAAGGGAGGTCCCGGTACTAAGGCTTTGATCCACTGATAAATATATTTGCTTTCCTCCTGCACACTTTCAAAACCTTCCTAAAGGTGCCTTCCAAAACTCTCCATTTCTTTTAGCTCCAAACCATACAAGTTACACAGGAAGACACAGGCATGTGTAGACCAAAAGTTATGACCATGAAAAAGCAGAAACAGAACTCTTAAGCTTCTTTATCTTGTCAGCATCTGAACATGGTGACAAATTTAAATTTTAGCCTCTGAGGAAGCGTCTCACTGGGTCAACCCTCATGTGAACTTGTTCCTGCATCTCACCTATGAGTGGCTTCCTCTTTGAGTACAAATGATAACCACACTCAGAAAGGGTCTGGTCCAGACCCATCCTGGGTGGCAAACGTGGCTGTGGCTCCTCCTCTGGCCGCCTCCTCTGCCCAACCCCTCAGGGCTGTACAGGAGCAACACGTGGAAAAATATCAGAGATGCCACTGATGGCATGAGTGGAAACATGATGGCCTCACTCCTTCCTGGCGAATTCCAGTACCAAAGTCAACTGGAAGCCAAATATAATTCGGAAAATTTGAACTCTTGAGGAGAAATCCAAGCTTCTAAAATAAATTTAAAACTGAGCCGAGGGGAATACTACTTAAATAGGTAGCCACCCTGGGATGACATAAATTCTGAATTTCTTAGGGTAACCTGTAGTTATCTGGTTACTTACCACAGCAGCTCCCCTCACAGGCACGGGAGGTCCTGCGTGGCCGTCGCATCTGTGGAAATAATTTGAAATGATTTCTTTGAAGAAGAGCCTAACTTTTACCATGAGGAAAAATCAACAGCACATTTGCCATTAGATTTTGATATCTTGAGAAGATCTATTTCTAATTCACCATAGAAAGACGTTTCTTCGTTAGTGCATTATTGAAGAAAAATAGAAACCGTTTTCTATGATTGCATAGAATCAATGCTTTACATCTTTGTCCCTCAGGTAGCCTAGAAAAAATTACGTATTAGTGGATTTGCATTTGAGCACAACATAACACATAAAATATAATAGCTATGTTTGTTGCACTGTTTATTCTGTATCAGGCTCGATCTTTGTGCATGTTAATTCATTTAGATACTTCACTCTCCTGAGATGGACATTATGGCTACTCCCATTTTACAGATGAGAAGATGGAGGTACAGAGAAGTCAGAATACACAGTTAGTTGCTGAGCTAGGAGTTGGGCAAAGGCTGTCTGGATCCAGAGCCCTCTTTCTTTCCTTTTCTTTTTTGAGACGTAGTTTTGCTCTTTGTCGCCCAGGCTGGAGTGCAGTGGCACAATCTCGGCTCACT